AGATATTTCCTGCCGACGTTTCTCTTGTGTTACGAAAGGGGGGGAGGGGACACACACCAAACAGGGATACCTGCTGTTGCTTATAGAGCTTACACTGTCTGCCAGTTTGTGCAGGTGCAATCAGGAGAAACACTGAACTCAGAGAATCAGCTCTTAGCTCTGCTCTCATTGTGCGGCTGAGTGCCATTATGATTAAATATCAAACATGCCAGCAGCTGATCCGACTGGTCAGGAGATCGGGCAGTGATTGCCCACTAAGCAGCAAACGACGCCTGTCAGGTGAAATTTGGCCCAACTTCAAAATCAGTCGTGCTGGGAATTCTCTTCACAGTACATAAAGACTTTTATTTTGTTAAGTTCAGGAGGATTTAAAGTTAAGCTTTGACAAACAAAATGATTCTTATATTTATGAATATTTTCTAAACATCGACACAGTAACAACATTTACTGTTTTTTTTTTTTTGGAGCAGGAAACGGGAAGAATGAACTTCAAAATAAAAGCTCTGTATGTTTAAGTTTCAGCCACAAAAAAATTTGAAATAAAGGAACTGTTTTTGCTGTGACAGAAGCTAACCGAGCTAGTGTTGCTAACATCCACGTCTCTGTGGTTGGTAGCCTGTTGTGCGACTCAAAAATCGGTTGAAAATTGTCCAGGAATCATTGAGTGACAGGTTCAAAGACAGATGAGAACCCTGACAGAAGTTTAACCTGAAAGGTAGCTGCAGTTGTGAAAAAAAGCTGCAGGGCAACAAAAGAAGTCAAAGTGTGGCATGACAGATATGTGACAACCTTTGAGCACGCAGGCATCAAGTTCTGTGAAAGTGTGGCTGATGCCGTTCACCATTAAAGGTTATAATGCCGCCTGTGTCACACTTTAAACTCCAACAGAAAGAGTCTTTACAACATGTCCAGGAAACATCATCTCTCGTGTGTGTGTGAGTGTTTATTCTGACTCTCCTGCTGTTAAAGCGGCCTATCAGGTGAAGAAATGCAGGAACACTTCTTAATCACTCACTGAATGAGTCACCACTCATATGTGAGCTCCAGGGCACAGTGATGAGCTTTATGTGTGAGTGTATATATATGTAAGTGCTGCATGTGTCTGTACATGGATGAGAAGAATAAAAGCACAGATCTGTACAAGCAGAAATCCGTTTATCTGTAACAGTGCCAGGAAACCAGCCAATCATAACGCATTCAAGATACAGCTTCCAAACAAGATGTGGTACGAGCTGAGGATTTTTTCTCGATGGCAGGATTTAAGATGCCTGCAGACACGGCAATGCCACAGTGGCATCACTGATCGTTCAGGAACATTGCCTTTAGCTGTAGAGACCGGCAGGTTTAATGCCATTCCAGAGGAAGACAGAGTTGTTTGTTGAGTTAGGAGAAACTGAAAACGAGATTCACTTTTTGTTTTACTGCCCGATGTACGCTGACATAAGGGATGTTCTTTTTACAAGAATGTCTTCAATTTAAGTTGATTACAAAAAACTTGAGTTGTGTTTTAAAAAAGGAACCTTTGTTACAGCAGATTTTGTTTGTAAAGCCTGGGAAAAAAAGACAGAACACGTTGTTTAAGACTGAACTGTGACAGGAGCCGGCAACTTTGTAATGTTATGATTTGTAAATGTGAACCACTGCAACTGAATTCTTATTGTCTTATAAGCCCATGAGGGGGCACTTGGATGATTGGGAACGGGAAGCAGGGTGCAGTGCAACCACGGTTGCTTCCTGATCAAATCGTGCAAATCAAAGCGCCCTGAAGTCAAACTCCTAAACTCTCCTCTGACAACATGTTATAGACTCTGAGTCAGTACATAAATATAGAGTTTATTCAAAGATAGGGATGCAGCTTTGCAATTCACAAACTCTTTAGAACTGAGTCAGCAAACATGCCATTATAACTACCATTAAAACAGTCAAATGTGCCAGAAGACATCAAGTTTGATCTTTCATAGACTATTTTATTTTCTCCTTTCCTCGACTGGCTGACTGCTCTGAATGTCTGAGGAAAGCTCTGCATTTGTGGTCATTGTTAAAAGCTCTGCAGGCTGGAAAAGTTCACCCTGAGCCAGCTCGTATGTCGGTTAAGAAGCATGATGGCAGTGCACACCTGAAGCAGGCAGGTGCTGCACAATTGGGTGGCTGTGCTCAGTGTTAGGGTTGGTTGTCTCTGAACTGGAAAGTAGGGTATTCGGTCCCCAGCTCCTGCAGCCACAGATAAAACTGATGGACTCTTTACATATCAACCTCTACCATCAGTGTGTGAATGTGTAGGTGTGACCTGCGGTGTGAAAGAGCTTTGAGTAGTCAGAAGACTAGAAGAGAACTAAACAAGCTCAAGTCCGTTCACCATTCATAAGAGCCATTCTCAAAAGGACACTGAGGTTTTCCTTAGTTCCAATGCCGATTACAAGCACAATAAAACAAGCAAAACATTGTGTGATATTACCTGGACAATCTGGCAATCAAGCCCTTTAACATCAACATGGTAAATATTAACCTCGTGGCCCCTTTACTTTAACTTGGACACTGGCCAGAATGAGTGTATTCCAAGTCTGTATGCGATCAAATTGGATATTTTTACCTTTAGGATTCACATGATTACTCTTTTAGCTCTGTCTCCCTCTGGTATTTCCTGTTTATCAATCGATTCACCAGCCATAGTCTCTGTCTGATTGTTTAAGAGCATTTACTCTTCTACAATACACCTCTCCAAGATGGCCGCCACACATAGACACATCTTCACTGGTCTCTATCAAGTCCATTTACCATTTAAAAAAACAAAAACAACGAGGCAGCAGCAGATATTGATTCAGCTGCAAATTAACAATATCACCGATTGTTTTCACTACTGACCTGACGATGACCAAAAGAAGATAAAGAGAAGAGTTTGGAAAAATAAACCAAAGAAGAGCAGAATATCATCCTGGTTGTCTGGTTGTGATAAAACACATATTTTCATCTCTGTTCATGTTTACATCGATGAGCAAACAAACCTCACCACCCTGCAGTGACCAGCGATGAGGAAACAAACACATTCAGCCCCCCGTGGCGTCCGGAGGTTTCCACGACCTTGAACACACAAAGACGTAAACGCGAGCCGTACCTTCCAGGCAGCAGATCCTCCAGAGGCCCGAGTGGGTGAGCGCCCCGGGGTCCTTCTTGTCCTTGTTGTTGGACTCCTCCTGGGACGAGTTGGCCGTGCTGTTGCAGATGAAGGCGCGGGCGTACAGCCAGTAGTCCGTGCCGATGGCCACGGTCATGAGGGCGAATGCCGCGAACGCTCCCATGGTGGTCAGCAGCACCTGGATGCCCCGCTCGCACCACCACATCGCCGGCCGGGGAAGGAAACTGATATCTGAGGAGAACACAAAGACCAGTGACCTACAGGTTGCTGTTAATGGTCACCGTGGTGACCAACAGGTTGCCGTGGTGACCTACAGGTTGCTGTTAATGTTCACCGTGGTGACCAACAGGTTGCCGTGGTGACCTACAGGTTGCTGTTAGTCGTTAACCTAGTGTAAAAACGCCTCAGAGGTTGAACAGCCATGAAATTAAAACCCAGATCCTCAAACTCTTTCTTTGTGTTCCAGTCTGTTTAAATTTATTCATTGAACTGTCAAATATTTATGCATTAATACGACGACTGTCCCCACCGGGCTGCAGCGGGTGACGGGTCGGAGCTGCTGCTGGGAACGAGGTTTTCTATCTCATCCTGTGTGAACACACTGAAGCAGTTTAAACAGCACACAGCCTGAAGCAGCAACAACAAAAACATAAAGCATCAAATATCGTATCAGAAGTGAGCGCTGGACGGTGGAAGATGGACTGCAGGGAGACAAAGAGGGAACGCTTTTCCTTTTTCATAGACCAGTGGATTCTCCCAGCAGGTCGGCACTTTTCAAATCGGACCTTCACAAAGTGAACCTCGGAGAGATCGACTTTACAGTTTACAGACGTGGAAAAGAAGACATTTTGAATTCTTTGACCAACTGCGTGTGGAGAAAAATAAATCTGTGACGCCTTAGAGGTACAGAAGCCCGGAGCAGACAAACATCCAGCATTTTATTTGACTATGTTTTCAACGAGGCCACATTTGAACGACCCACAGGAGACTGAATGATTTTTAGTTTTCAAAAAAGTTCTGCGTTCACATGATTACGTCTTGATAACAACTACCTGCACAAAACGACTAAAAACGCTGTAGTGTGCATGCCAGGCCAGTAGTTGGCGGTGTGACTTCCTCCCACAGAGCGGTGAGTTGAGAACATACTGACATGGCGAACACACGGACGATGACGTCGGGGGGTCCCGCTCCAGGAAGTACAAAGAGAGTAGATTTATGAAAATGGCGACTGGGAGTCAAGCCAGGCGACATTTTCACAAACTGAATTGGAGGTCCGCCATTGTTGTTGTAGTCTACCGACCCGCGTCTGGCTGTTGTTTTAAGTAGAACTACATTTTGCAAGTTTCCTTGACGATGCAGATGGAGCAGTTTTAGAAAACTGCCAAAATGCAGCTAAAGGTTACCGGGGCGTCGTATAGCGCAGGGGTTATTGTTGCACGCCCCATGCACAGAGGAAGCGCCCCCCACGCCCCACGCTCTCTCCTCTCCAGCTGACCTCCCCAAGAAAGGCCCCAAAACACACATTGAAACAAAAGCTTAGCGTCTTCAGCTGAACTCGTTGTCGTGTTAACAGGGCCTTGCGCTTTCTAAAAATCTGGATCTCTTTATTTCTCGTTACCATAACAACCCTGGTTTTCCCGTGAGAAGTTAATTTGTTGTGATCTCGAGAAAACTGCTGAAATGAAGTTCTTTTCACAGGAAAAACCAGCGTCGACATCCTGAGATAACGAGATAAATGAGATGAAGATGAAATAAAACAAAATGTCCTGATGCATGTTCACTTAGAGCTTCTGTGAAGGAGACACCTAAAGGGAACCAGCAGAGGAGAGAGAAAGGAAAGGAAGCGAGGTGCAGGGGTTTTACGTACCTACGGATACAAAAGGAGGGTCAAAAGACGAGAGAGAGAGAAAGGAGGGAGAGCTGAGATCTGAAGCTGAGCGGTGAACAGTGAGGAGGAGATACATCACATGTGCTGCTTCAGGAAACATACAGGAAACATTCAAGGAACAAGGGAGGCAGGGAGGAAGGCAGGGAGGAAGGCAGGGAGAGGGAAGGAAGAGAGGAAGGAAGGGAGGGAGGGTCTTCATGGGTTAAATGTTCACGTCCTCACCGAGAATCTAAAAAGCGGACCTGAATGCTCATAAATGTGAAACCATTGATGGTACAGACAGACGGCTTTTTAAAAACTCTTTGACTAATTCAGCCGACCTGAGGGGTGTTTCCATGGCAACACCAATCCCAGAATAACAGGGAGCACCGGTACTCTGACCCTGGTGGTGACCTGCAGAGTGCAGGAAGTAAGTCCCTCACAGACGATCAAATCTAACTCAGCTGATTCATCTTCATCAAACTCCTGTGACGTTTAAATCATCCTGACTTTTGTGTTTTGAGGTTTTTGTAGCGTGCTAACGTTACTTCTCCTAACATGAAATATCCAGATCATTTCAGATACGTCATGTTTTTCTTGTACCCGTTAGATTCTGTCGCTGCTTTAACTTCCATCAGAATCTTAAACCTTCTCTTTTAAGTCGGACTGTCAGCATAAATGATTTAACGTCATCTAATTTTGTCCCTTCAGGCTCTCCGTAGATAGTGGTCCTCAGTGTCTCCCTGTAGTCTCACTGATGTAAAAGAAGAACACTGCTGCATCTTTGAATGTCTCATTTCACTTTAACAAACTCTCAGACAGTAATATCCACCTGATGACATCACACATTGACCTCATGACATCACACATTGACCTTTGTTACCGTTCCTTTAAACGGTTTGACCTCAGATTGGGATCCATAACTACTTCTGCTTCTGTGCTTAATGCTGCATTCAGGTGCTGCTCGGGTGGTCAAAGTCGACTTCAGTGTGAATGTCTCTGTCACGAGTTATATTTGAGCAAAAGTTGAAGTGCAATAAGTGAATTAATCAAAAGTATGTAACATTGACAAAACATATTTTTCTTCCCCAGTCGGCCAGTCGGGCACTTCGTTCTTCTCCGAGTTTCCGAGTCGTTATTCCGACTTCAGCAGGCGTTCACGTTCATTTTACAACTCAGAAACTACTTTTTCCGATTTGTCCGACAACACTTGAATGCAGCACAACTTCATGTCCTCAACTTCCATCTACGAGAAAGGCCTTACATTATTTAAAAATAAAAGCACACAGCAAGTAAAACACTCTAAGCTTAAGACAGGCAAACTTTTAAAATAAAAGCCCAACAAGTTTTATTTTGGAATGTGAAATAATGGAATTAAAACATGTAATTAAAAATGCAATTAACTTTTGAAATGTAGCGATTAATCGTGATTCAAAATTCTAATCGTTTGTCAGCCTTAGTTTTGAGTTCTTTCAGACTGTAAAGATTCAAACAGAATTATTTTCAGCTCTTTTATATTAACGTTTAAAAACACTGAACTCAGTTAAAGTGATGACATAGCACTCTGTAAACGCCGATTTAAACGCCTCCTATTGGTTTGTTGCTGGAGAAAAACGATGCTGAGGTCCACCGCCTCATCGCTTTGAAAGACAGAACGCAGAAAGAACGACATTTTAAGTTTCAGTTTAAAAAAGCTGGTTCTGTGTCGCCGCTCGCTGCACTCAGTCTTAAAGCAAAGATTTAGCTTGAATCAGAACCAGCTTCCTCTGTGTGTGTGTGTGTGTGTGTGTGTGTGTGTGTGTGTGTGTGTGTGTGTGTGTGTGTGTGTGTGTGTGTGTGTGTGTGTGTGTGCGTGGGTGTTTTCCGGCATGATTGCCCATGCTTGTTTGTGTGTTTAAATGATGGTCGAATATTCAAACACATGTATGAATGTACGATGCATCGGGTTGTTTCCTGTTTGACCACACACCCCTCTGTGTGTGTGTGTGTGTGTGTGTGTGTGTGTGTGTGTGTGTGTGTGTGTGAGAGTCTTACCTGGGGGCATGTTTCTGCCTTTAGCCTCCATCCTCTCTCCCCCCCGCTGCTGCTGCTGTTCTTCTTCTTCTTCCTCGTCAGTGAAGAGCGCCTCGTAGCCTCGGTCCGAGCCGCCTCCATCCACCGTTTATCCCTCGATTACTCTCCCCTTCCCTTTCCCCCTCGCTCGTCCTGCCCCTCCCTCTTTCTTTTCCTCTTCCTCTTCCTCTCTTTTTTCACCCCCGATCACTCCTTCCTCTCCTTCTTCAGCGGGTTGGCTGATGCTTCACTTGGCGTCCTCTCCTCTCAATGAATTGTCATGGCAGTCATCTTAGTTACTGAGAGAAGAAGAGAAGGAAAGAGGCGGAGAGGAAGGTGGTGGGGTGAGGAGAGAGAGAGAGAGAGAGAGAGAGGAAGAGAGAGGAAGAGAAGGGACAGAGTGTGAAGAGGAGATGAAAAGATGGGGAAAGGAGGTTTTTCGATTAACAGACGAGCCAAGAAAACACTCCTGTACAGAAACATCGCCCAATCAAAGTAGTTTTCTAAACCACATCGATTACATGTTCTGATGAAGAAATTCACAAACAAACAAAATAAAACATTTTTAAAAACCTGATGCTTGTGTGGAGGAAAGCGAGCCTCCTGTCAGAGCGAGAGAAGCTGCTGTGCCTCGACACACAGAGCCAGATAAAGCAATAGAAAAGAAACAGGCGATGCGAGAGAGAGCGTGCTCTCTTCCATCGCCATGGCAACAGTGAATTCCAAAGTCTGTGATGGAGCTGGCGAGCGTGTGTATGTGTGTACATGTGTTTGCTTGTGTGTGTGTGTGTGTGTGTGTGTGTGTGTGTGTGTGTGTGTGTGTGTGTGTGTGTGTGTGTGTGTGTGTGTGTGTGTGTTGGGGGAGTAGAGGGATGGATGAACCAGCTGAGAGGATTTTGCTGAGATTTAAAAAAAAAGAAAAAAAAAGTGTGAATTGCATCGGTGTGCAGAGATACATGACGGACACACACACACACACACTCATACACACACACACACACACACACACACACACACACACACACACACACACACACACACTCGTATGTTCTGCATGAACATGTTTGCATGCAGAGTGAGTACAAGAGGAGAGATGATGACAGACGTGTGAGTCACTTTGGTGACTTTTCTCTCAGCGTGTTTCATCCGTTCAACTTTTCTCCCGTGCCGGTGCGACGCCTCACTCACCGCCGTCTCCTGCGCTGACATGACGTGTAGATTCCTTAAAAAGCTGAGACAATCGTGCACAGATTTGATGCCTTGCTCACGGGCATCTGAGCAGAGCGGCTGCTCACATCTTTATTTCTCAGCAGGCAGAATGTTCCTGAAGAGAGGATCCCCGTCAGCACCATGAAAAGGATGTTTTTTTGTGTGTGTTGCTGAAACCACAGAAAAAAAAAACCCTGGATCCACATTCAAACCTCCAGCAGCAGCACAGCAGGGGGTCCTGAGTTTCTCCACATCAACAGAACAGCTGGAGGCGTTTCTGACTGCTGACGATCCCGGGAGACTCCAAGTTACAGCGACCATATTCGACCTTTTTAAATATTTTAATCATGATGTTTACAGTTACAGAACAAATCTTCTGGCTGACAAAATTTAAACCAAAGCAGCGACCCATGATGTGCAAATTACGCATTGACAGTCGAATACCTCCCTAAGGCCCCCCCCCCCCAATTGATTTGTGCCTTGGGCCCTAATGGACTCTAGAATTACCACTGGACAGAAACGCTGCTTGTCAACAGGCAACTGCTTGGGACCCCTGACCAGCAAACTTTAAACAAAGGCAGTGGCCCAAAACGTGCAAATTTTGCAATGACAGTAGGATACCTCCCTAAAGGGGGCCCATCAGACAACACTCACTCATTGCCCTGCTAAGCGTTGCTGCATTATTGCTGTGAAGTTTGTCGATGAAAGTTAATAATGAAGAGGAATGATCCGTCTAAAGGAGAGAAAAAGGAAGTAAGAGGAGTTAGCGTCTGGATGATGGCGGACATGATGGTGGTGAATGTGGGTTTTAGGGCCTCTAATTATGTTTTCCCTGGGGCCCCAACAGACTCTAGAATCGCCACCGCGTGTGAACACAGAACAAACTAGAGGTAATTATGCAAGAATTGGAACAAACTGGTCCCTGATTCAGACCAGAGCAAACGAACCCGAGGTGTGAAGACGTTAGAGGACAACATCCATAACTGATGGCAGAACTTGTCATATTCTGAAGTGTTGGAGCGGGACCAAGCCGCTGTACGATAAATAACAGCATAAAAAAAAGAGTTTAGTTTCACACAGTTACAGTGTTCTGAAGTGTTTGTGTTCCTCTACAGGGAGAGTCTAACATTCATCTTATTCTGATATCAGGAATACGTCCAGAGTTCATTTGTGTAAATGTGAAATGTGAGCATCAACAAATCCTCCCCTCTCTCTCCTCTTTTCTATCAGAGCGTGTAGATAACGGCGTTCTGGAGTCACTCACAGGAACGGAGCGTAATGAATCAGGATCAGAGGCACAAATCAAAGCGTGTCATGACAGGAAGTGAGCAGTGAGTCTGTCCAGACAAAACGCTACACACTCTTAACACCTCCGCCCCCCTCCAACTGAATAACAAGAAGACATTCAGAGCTGCCCTGCAGGATTTCTAGGCTGCTGATTAAACTTTCAGAAAGTCCTGGTGAAAGTGCCAAAGTGTGAAGTTCTGCTCATGCAGCATTTATCCCTCCTCGCTCGGCACACACAAAAAGGCTCTGACGTTCAGACTGTGGCGTCACGCTCCGGGTTTCTAAAGACCAAACTCTGAAGGATGGATTCTGATTTCCTGCTCAGAGGGGAGCGAGCAGCTCCAACGTCACAGACCCGAGTTAATCACCCAGATATTCTTGATAACATGTAAATACATCTCTGTAAGAGCGACGCCTGAAAGATCATCTGAAGGAGAAAAACTGCTTGTGATTAGAGCTTCTTCAAAAATCACTTTTCCATCGTTAAAGCCATTTCAACATGCTCGATAAACACATCACAAAAGACTGCTTTCAGTCAGCTGTTTATAAAAAACTCATTTTAAATATCAAAAATGTGACCCATGACACGGAGCCCCTGAAGAAACGGGCTCATGCATTTATAACTTTAGGCCAATCAGAAGAAGCATAGATTAGCATTAGCATTTAGCTAGCTCTAATTTTAATTGGTGTCACTTTGAGAGCTTTCACATTCACACAAAACTCCTGAACACGTCCTGACGTTTTCACATTTAGCTGCATGTGTGAACGCAGACACTCGTTACACTCGACGTTACTCATACTCTTTGAGAGGTGGGGGGGTCGAGGGGGGGTGGGGGGATGGTGAAGTTACTCTGTGAACGGCACTCCATCATAGACTGTATGCACGAGGCTGTGAGATCTCCATGCATGTAGAAAAAAACTGCTTTATTGTTTTCTTTTCCTCACTTTGCTCTTTTGTTGATATTGTGAACATGTCAGACTACAGGCAGCAACATTCTCATGACGGCGTTGTATAAAGGACGCCGCTGCTTCCTCGACCGTTTCAACGTTGTTCTTTTTATTTCATGTCTTGAATGTCTCCTCCTGAGCGGCAGGGAAATTCTCCCACTGTGAGGTGCATGTGTGAACAAGCAAGTGGGTGTAAAAAGCCATGTAATCCTTTTGGTGAATCAAGCCCTCAGTGTTCTGATCGCTGCTTATCCTGACCCCCTGGAAAAGTCCCTGGGAGACCCTTGGAGCGCCTGTAATCAGTGACAACAGACTTTAGCGTCCTAACTTTGTGCTCTGAAACTACAATAATCCTGATGCTCCTGCAGCAGACCGAGCGAGCAAACAAAACGCCCGAGGGGCAGGCCGGCGGCTGCACAGATGCACGCTGCAGAGACTAAAAGTTCAAGGACAAACGAGGACCCGCTCTGCATCATGAACGCTGCCACGATATGAATCCTGCTGTGAATACAAAACAGCAGCGCTCAGAGCATCGGTCGTGATTGTTATAGACACATAGCTGTCGGCGGTTATCAGAGTCCGTGGAGAGAGCTGAGGCATGATGGGATGTGCGGTTCTGTGTTTTGTAGAGTCACAATGTGAAAACTGTGAGTCCTGTACAAAAAGTCTTTCTATAAAAGAGCAGAGGAAGATCTTAACAAAAACTTCATAGAAGCAGATTTCAAGCTGTGTTGGTTTGAGGAGGACTCTCCTGATCGAGCTTTTCATTGCTGCTCCCTCTCAGAGTGGTGATGTAACAAACACGGCACAGAGAGGGGAGAGAGATGTTGACGATGAATACATCGAGGAGGATCGGCAAGAAGCGGTCAAAGTATTTAAGTCAACCTTCACATGTAACAGACTGAAGAGACACAGAACACTTCACAGTTTAAATTAAATTCATGGTCAGATGTCACCTCTGTGTTAAAAGTGACAAAGAGAGGTTTGTACCCATTTAGATTATTACACAGAACTTCCACCAGGTGCGTTTGCAGTGCTGCTCCGTCGTCCATCAACGCCCACAGGTTGAGTTCTTAGAGCGCAGCACGGAGCAGCACCGCCGGAAACAGCTGGAGTCCTGACACCAAGAAGTTCCTGTGGTTATTAATTAAACTATTTTCTTTCACAATAATGCAATTAGTAATCAAAATGTTTGTTTTTGTTGTTTGGAAGGCATCCCGCGACCCCCTCTCATTGTCTCCCCCCCTCTCATTGTCTCGACCCTCACTTGGGGAACCACTGCTTTAGCCAATTAAAGGCTAAAAGTTGTATAATTGAGGGACTAGAGAAAAGAAGAATAACATACTGTACTCACTGCTTAACTGTGTTTCTAGATCACGCTCATTTCAGGTAATTTACATGCAGTGTGAAGATACCAGCATAATAAAGATCCTAGCATTAGCATGCTAACATGCTCAAGGGCGACATCTGCTGGATCAAAAAAATCACATAAAGCCTTTAAACAAGCACATCCCTGGTGTTTGCTTGTATTATTACTGGGGATTTTCTTCCTCATTTCCAAGTATTTTTTTCATTTTTCTCTGCTCTGAATTGGCTTTTCAGGATATGACAAACCGTTTGTCGTCTTTCTTAGCCAAAAAACAACAACAACAATGACGTCACTGTCAGCGAGTGAGTGAGTAGTGTCTGACATGTTTTTTTAATTTTGCTGAGTGAGTGCACAATATAGTCCTACATATAACTCACTACATAGTGAGGAGGGAGGGAGTGATTTCAGACACAGTCTATAGTGTCTATAGGAGCCGAGCCCCCCTAATGGTGTGATCCTTAAAGGAGACATATTGTAAAAAATCCACTTTCACAGTGTTTCTGAACATATATGTTGGTAACCTGAGTGTCTACTGATCCACAAAATGTGAAATAAACCCATCCAGTCCTTTGTTTGTGGTCTGCATAAGTCTTACAACACAGAGAAAAATGCTCTGTTTCAAATGTGCTCTCCTTGTGATGTCACAGTGGGATTCTGGTTACAGAAAATCCCCTCCCCTCCCCTGGTATCTCCACCCATGGACTCCACCTCCAGCCTAGAACAAAACTTTAGCGCAGGTCGGCCATTTTTATTCTCGCTACAGAGGAGTGATGTCATTACATTTAAAGAGACACACACCAAAACGGAGTGTCCTGAGAGAGCTGGTTTATACAGGGTCACAAACCTCCTCTGGTGCTTGATTCATGTTATATTTTGACC